GCTGCAACAACAGAGCTGCTGTTCTAACTTCATGTGACTGAAACTCTTGGTGAGACTATTGCTTCTGGTAACGTTATACCCCGTACTTTCTTGGTCAGTGGCCTTTCAGCCAGCCTTGTTGCACAAACACATCTATACTGCTTCCTAAGAAAAAATGACCAATACAGCCAGTTTGACCCCTGAAGGCAGGAAGCCATAGTCTGTGTTCTGACACCTACGGGGGCACACGCATACATGCCATGGAAGCAGTAATACGAGCAACTTGAGGAAAACTGCCTACAAGAACTGAGGTTCATCCACATTAGATGCAATGTTCACAAGCTCCAAAACAATCACTCAGTTGGAAGTATTATGACCTAAACAGAAATACAATGATTTAAGCTTTCAGCTTGTGGTTGCCTGCACAATGAACTTATGTTTGACTGGGGACAGTTATTAATCTTAAATTTCCTGAGAATTGGCATGAAATACCTTCCAGGAAAACAGTAAGGTCCCACATCAGGAATCTGCACAGCAGAGATGGAAAAGGTCTGTGATACAAGAAGAAATTGGGCTTGGGTCCTGATCTAAGAGCCCTTGTCATCAAAGCAACTACAATTTGATCTTACTTACAATGTGCTGTTTATAGACATAAAGTATTTCAGAGCCTTACCATACTTGAGATAAAAAAAAAAAAAAAAGTTAGCCTGCAGTTCTAACAGCTTTAACAGCTTGTACTCTAATTGAAAGCAACAACAATAACTCCTCCTTTTTCCCCACAGCAGGACAGAAAGTAGACGGAGACAAAATGAGAAGAGAAACAGTATTAAAAACTTAGAGATACATAAATTACAAGTAAGCCACAACAAGCGCCAGTTCCAGTAGTACGGCTACTTCAGGTTGCTATCTGAAAAAAGCACACCCCCAAAGATGGAGTTTTCCAAGCTTGCGGCAGTACATCTCTATCTGATAATCTTTTCACATTTGTGACACTGAGAATTTTCAGAGCCTTATCAACTGGACAAAGATGAAACAATCTTAATGGAGACCAACAGAAGAAACTGTTCGTAAGCCAGGAAGTCTGAGCATCAGAGGTAGATTCAAACCTTAAGCGATCACACACCACGAGGACTTCACGTCCAATACTTTTATACACCCACCAACTACTGCCGTTGGACCTTTGAGTGAACCTTGCCATGCAATACTGCCACGTTGTTGCACAGAAGTTGTAGGTGCCACAACACTTACAGCTCCTTCTGAGCCTGCAACACTCAGAAGACAGCCCAGAGTAGTGAAAAGACTGAATGTACCCATGAGCTGCACATCCCAAGTAACTTCTGTTACAGTTACCTTCTACTTTATGCGGTTTTGTAGCAATAATTGACGTGCTCATTCAAAGTGTACTTGGACAGTCTCTTTTCACCCTACTCCTACATGCAATTTACAAGGAAATCATGCGTGTTTGACATTTTATTGCAAATGCACCATTTTCTTCCACCTTTCCATCATCTGAAGGGAAGCATAAAAAAAAAAAACCCAAACTTTACTTCAGTATGGTTTGCAATAAAAAAAAAATTTGAAGCTATTGTTCTTGAGTACTCATCTTTCCTTTCAGAAGGAAACAGATAAATCTGGCTAACAAATTTTCTCTGCAGTTATTAAGACTGGGTAACATAAAAGTATTTTAAGATTAGCATCTATACAGACAAAAAGACAAGACATCAGATTTTCTTTTCCCTTCCAGATAGAACAAAGAGTTCCCAAGTTTAGTTTTGTACAGGCTGAAAGTTATCCTTTGCCTCTTCACACATCTTGGAGAGAATCTGGAAAGTTCAGATAAAACCTAAAAAGTAATAACGCAGTGAATGCAATTTTTAGAGTTCCTACATTTTGAGATACACATGAAATTGGCAGATCCTTTATGGAATAAATGGAATGCCTCATTTGCAATATATTTTAAGGCATTGTGATTTTTCTATTTTTTTTTTACTTTTACAGAAAAATCAGATAATCATGGTAGCGCTAGCATTTTCTTTGTGTGCTACTTTTGTTCTACAAAATTCATTTTTGTGGCTAGGTGTGCTAGTTGCCTTAGCAACCACTGTAAAAGCAATTCCGATCAATGAACACTTCTCACCGTCAGTACTGGTGGCAGAATGTTATGGAAACAGCAGTCAAGAGAGATTTTGCTGTCGCTGAGCTCTGAAATTCAGCCTTGGATCAAATGAAGAAAGGTATGCAAGATGACAATTCAAGGAGTGGGTAAAAAAGAAATAAATAAATCCAACAGTCACTAGCACAATAAATCTTTTCAAGTCTTGGGAAAGCCAAGTCACTGTTTTGTGTATCTGACATCTGGACAACCCCAAACACAAATATAATACAAATTAGAAAGTCACCACAAAGATCATCTGGCCTACTGTGCTTTGAATGGAACCACCTCTGCCTGGATAATTTTTAGAGACTTTCATCTGTCATGCAATAGCTCCACAAAGCAGGAGATAAAGCAAGGTGAGGTTTATGAAACTGAACTACTTTCTGCCTTGTGGCAAAGCTAACATCAAAATGCATGAAACTAGAAGAAAATGCCATCTCGTGAATTACCTGCATAATAAACCCAAGGAGTTATGAAGGCATTTGAGAACTACTTGCTTACACACAAACTAAGTGCTATACCTTAATGTGGTGATATTTCAGCTGAGTGAAAGTCAAACTCTATCAGGAAAAGCATGCTGAGATCTGAGCACATTAATGTGGCTGAGATAAAGTCAGTAGCCAACAAAAAGCTTTAAAAAATAAAATATGAAAAGAGTATTCAAAACCAAACATTGTATAACTAAGAAATGGATATAGGTATACAACACATGAATGCACTAATGTAACAAAACACGGGTTATCGAGTTAAAGGAGGACACGACATGAAAGCCATTAATTTAGAAATACAGAAAATCAAAATGTGTATTAAGGTGTATGCCTGGCAGCCCAGATAAAGAGCCTGGAAAGTAATGTCCAAAACATGGTGGCAGAATTAAGAGCAGACCAGATACACTGGTCTGATCTTAATTAAGATTAAGGTCATTAAGATACATCCCAACAACAACTACTGCAGTAACATTTCCCAACCAGAGTCACAACAAAACAAAAGACAAAGTGAGGTGCAGAGTTAAGTTTGGGTTCTACCATACAAATCTTTTTTTCCCCTCAACGCAGAAGAGATGATTGTCCTCTACAGTCTGCCAGGTGTACTCAGTATTGCCTCTAGCAAAGTTCTAGATGCTGATTAGCCTGAAGAAAGGTTCACCATAAAGACTCTCTGATGTCCATGAGAGAAAGGATGTTGAAGGAGATTGTCTGATCCACAAACTTACGGTTTACCTGCGCTTGCAAATACAAAGCTCTTCACAACTGGTGTGAAGTCTACAAAACTATATTCTCTATCACATGTATGTATCCTCTGTTCCAGATTCTCAAAAAAAGCTTTTGATCTAAACAATCCCAGTATGGTTATTAGAGATTTTTTTTTTTTTTTTAGCATTTCCATGATGACAAGCCATAAAAGAGCTGCCTTTAGGAGGCACTCCAACATTTCACATTTCATCAGCTTTGCTGGCCACAGAATGACAGGGAGCAGGGCTGTTTCAGAGTTCTGTCATTGCACGATAGACACAATGATAAGCATGCAGACAGTAGCCAACAGCAGTATACATAAAATAACAAGGAGACAGCACTGTCACATTCTGCAAGGAAACTCGCAGAGGCT